ATCGTTATCATTTGTGAAGTTGTCAGGAGAATGAAGTGAAGTTTCTGTTAAAAGTTGGTTTATAGTTGGTTAATTTAATTGCCACAATAATTATAATTATTTCTGATATAAATATTAAAACATGATTGAAATATAATAAAAAAATTGACATAATGTAGGATCACGTAGTTCGTAAGTCGGGGGATTTATAATTCATGAAAATGACGACAAATATCAATTTCATGCAACCGAGGTAGCGCGCGACGCGCGCGATCTGCCTAGTTTGAGAAAAAGCGATTCGTTTTTAAATCGTTTTCCACAAATATCTTCAAAACTTGTGAACCAATTTCGATTTTTTTGTTTTCAAAGTATTCGTTTCGATGCCTTCTATCTAAATCAATCAAAACATATATACCCGTTCATACAAAGTTTTCGAGAGTCCTGTTTTTCCGTTTTCTCATAAAACAATTGCTAATCACTCTAGCTTGTGCAAAAATAGAGATCTCAACTTGAAATTTGGGCAGAATCTTTCTCTTATGATAACAACAATTCGTATTTGAAATGGGCTCAATCACATCAGTAGTTTCGGAAATATTCGACTTTTTCTGATTTTTTTTGGTGCAATATCTTCAAAACTACGCAACCGATTTCACTTTTTTTTCAAAATATTCGTTTTGATGCCTTCTATCTAAATAAATCAAAACATATACACCCGTTCATACAAAGTTTTCGAGATATTCCCGTTTTTTCATAAAAACATTTCTGATCACCGTAACTTATGCAAAACTCGACATATCACCTTGAAATTTAGACAGAAAGTATATATACCCGTTCATACGAAGTATTCAAAACATTTGAATTCTTATAGCACCCATGGAGGTGGCGGTAAACATCCGAAATTTTTACAATGCAAGATGTTATTTCGACCGGCATATTTAAGGTAGTTGGTCCATGTACCGCCCACCTAAGGGAAATCAGTCTTTTTTCCAGCCGCGCACTCTACAAGGAGTCATAAACGGTTAGAATGGGTTCTTCGAGGTGTTTACTCGAAAATGCGCAGAGGACAATTTTTTTTAACATTAAACATATTTAATTATGTAATGCAATTGCCATCGCCCAATGAGCGATGGAATCGAACTTTTAAGGTAACGAGACCGAACGCGCGCTATAGCGCGCTGTAATTGTATCAATAATAATTGGAAATCTCAAAATTAAATGAATCCTGAATTAAATTTGCTGCCTAAGACGACTGTGAACCAATGAGGAATAAGCGTGACAGACTTGCGAGATATCGATAGTTATCGACTCTAAGTGTATGTTCTTTTTAGAATAGCATACCGCCCGGCATGCGTCCGATACCGCCCACCTTGTTTTAATGACTTTTTTGGGCAATGCAGACCAACTGTTATAATTTTTTCCATTTTCATCCTTCGTTTCCATTTTTTGGCTCCATTTTGAGAAAGATTTCACGTGAATAATAATAAATTATCCTGCATTTACCGGACGTTCCAGTGGCCACCGACGACCTTAAATAATCGAGCTATCATTCGACCGCCCGCTAGCTGCAGAGTCTAGCAGCCCTATAAAAACCCCGGGCGGCATTACCCACAAACTCTGCGGCGGAATTACCCACGAACGCGGAGGCTGATAAAATAGCCAATAACAACTGATGAAGACATATTTCTGCTATCGAGAAGGTCGCAATGGATGTGGAAATGTATAACAAACATATATTTCACACTCCATTTAATTATTCCATGTTATTGTCTATTAACTGAAAATTTGAAAAATCTTAAATTCTGGGGTCGAAATATTTTAAGAATTCGGTAGGAACTAATTTAGATTTTTTAAACCATGTTTCCACGGGGGAAAATTAAGAATTTCAGTTGAAATTACTTGTTGTTATCAAATCTTTGCATAATAAAAAATGAAACAAATTTTTCTCTCAGCCAATTCTGAGAAATACGGGTGGGCGGTATTACCCGGCGGTATTACCTGGGCGGTACGGGCATCCGCTACCCTACATTTTCTATTTCTCCGGGATATCTACTCGGAAATTTTTGCTGCTCGTTATTTTTGTAGAGCTGTAAACTTTTGTAATATTTCAGACCATTCAGAAGCCCGCCATCAATGTATTAATGGCGAAAGAAGAAATACATCTTTCAGTGACTGTCATATGGCGCGCTGTCATATGCTCACTGTCCTCTGCTTATTTATGATTATTTTCGTGAAGTTTTTTAAATAAATTTTTTATCTGGAGGGGTTTTGTTATCGTGCGGATACTCGCAAGTCATTTCACACTGGGTTATCGAATTCCTTTCCGATAAGACCTTACTTTAATTATTATATCAGATGATTAGAAATGAAGGGTTTAATAATTGGTTTCACGTTGCCGTTCAGAGGCATAACTCAGTCTTCCCCCATCAAAAAATTATTAAAAAATATATATGGGCCAATTCTATATATTTTTCAAATTTATACAGAATATATATGTTTCAAACATATTTCATTTTTTTTAAATGTAAATTGGGCCCATTTAAGATATTTTTTATAGTGATGCCATGAGACATTTCACGAGACATCACGAGACAATACTTTCGGGAGATTGCCTCGGTCTCAGTGAACACGGGAATTTTTGGTCTCATCTCAGTCTTGAAATACGCAGTGTTGACTCCTCTCGTGATGAGTCTGAGTCAATTTATCTCATCTCGGTTTCCAGTTTTTCGCGTTTTTGCTTCCGAATGGAAGCATGGTATTCGTCGGATTTTGGCATTCTCTAATTTTGCTTGGAAATGATGTAGAATGGTATGAAACGTAAAGAAATGATGATTTTAGAAAATGTCTGTATGTCCGGGTCTGATAGTTCGGTTTTTGGGTTGCATTTTAGAAAATATGACATTAATACGGGAAAATTCATTGATATGGACGTGAAATTTTGACCCATACTAAGTACTATTAAGCTCAAGTTTGATGCACAATTTCAGCCCGATCGGTCCAGTAGTTCCTGAGATATTCAACTTTTTGTATAAAGCTACCCAGCAAACAATATGTCGACAATTTGTCAACAAATTGCCAATGTCCTGTTAAATTTTAGATGGCACTGGCAAAAATTGTTTTCTGGGTATATTGGTCAATATCTCAAAAACTACTTGATCGATTTCATTTATTTTTTCAAAATACTCATCAACTCCGTATAAGCGATTTTACATTTTTGGTGTTTTCTAAATTCTTTGTTCGCACAATAACTTGAGGAAAAATTGGGATAGGAATGTGACGTGAGAAAATAGTTTCTCCTGTAAACTGAAAAAGGGAATTGCTATGGATCCATTCGGAAGCTTACTACCAATGGAATTGGTAGAAATCAAAAATTAATATAAAATACAAATAACACATAAAGTAACAGTCACATGCCTTCTGCAATATAGGACCGGTCAACTGCTTGTTAATATGTAGAAAACCGAGATGAGACAAACCGAGATTTTACATTAAAAAAACACGAAAAACTTGAGACCAACATGAGATAAATTGACCTCGGAATCATCGCGAGAGGAGTCGATGCTGCGTAGGGGAGGATAGCCCTGTACCGCTCACCTAAGGGAAAATCCCAAATTTAGGATCTTAAACATCAACCCGGAACGTGAACAATTATTTTAATTTCTTGTTTAACTATTCAAGGTGTTATTTCTGAAGTTCAGAGACTTAACTCAAGTCCAAATTTGTAAAATAAATGAAAAATGAAAGTGAGAGCCGATTGAGCGGTATTATCCGCTGTCGGGTAATAACGCTCGGTGCGGTTCCAATATCGCTCACTCCGCTGTCTGTACCGCTCGCGCTGCAACCTAACCTGCTATCAACAACTGTCAAATGACAGGAAAAAAATAAAACGAAATGAGTGGATAAAATACATTAAATCTTGTTTACTAGATTGAAAAGTTGAATGAATAAAAATATTTCGGGTTTCACAGCCTTCAAAGCCGCGTCTACGTCTTCACCTGTTCTTTCCCCCATTTTCTCCTCGAGTTTCTTCACTTGTGGCATTTTGCTAAACAACAGAGGGAAATATGCACATAACCATATGAATTCATCGGATCTGAGGGATTGTAACGGCATATCCCAACTATTTTACATATTCGTTAAAATTGATCGGCATTTTATCGTTGATTATCGAACATGTTTTCTTTAAAAAGAAAAGATAATTATATTTTATTTACGTCATCTCCTCCAATGACCGGCATTCGCACTGACGAGCTGTCAAACACCGAGCGACCGAAGGACCGAGCGACTTTATTTACTGGTCCTCCGATTGTACAGTGTAAGAACCTCGAAAACTGGCTATGTGTTTTTTTATATTCAAAGTGGTATGTGAAGTGGAATTTTTCCGAAAATTACATCGTGCTATCAAATCATTTACATTAGGAAAAAGAACAAAATTTTTAATTTCATAATTATTGAGAAAACCGGGTGAGCGGTATTGCACGCCGAGCGGTACAGGTCGACTCTCCCCTATTTTGAGACTGATACGACAGCAAAGATTTTCATGTTCATTGAGACCGAGATCATCTCTCCAAAGTTTTGTCTCATAAAGTTTCTCGTGACATCACTAATTTTTAAATATATTTTTCAAAATATGAATTTTTCCGTATGGGTTTCGATGGCTGTCAGTTTTATGCACCTGTGTTTGTGGATATTGCGGCGATGGGAGTGGGGGTATGGTTCCCAGAAGTGCAGTTCTGCCACAACATGAGAGAAACTGCGGGTTTTTATTCTTGTATTTTTCAATAAGTGGAGGAGGAGGAAGATTGAAAGATTTCAGGGTCAGCGGCCCAGGGATTGGGATGCCATCTGTTTCGTGCTATTTTTCGAACTTTGAATGCACTGGCCGCTAAATGGAATCATGAATATCCAAAATAGTATTTACCATTGTCCTATTTCATATTTTTTTAAACAGAAATAATAGGTAGGTTTGCATTGAAACTAATTCTTTTTTGTGTAAAAAATTTTATTTAAAAATTCAGGTTTTTCGTTCACAAATTTAGCTGATCACATTGTTCAATGTAGATGCCTCTTCGATGGAATGGCCTTGAAGAATTGAATAGAATAACCATGAGCTTATACCAATATAACATAAAATACCATAACAGATGGTAAGTAAGACTGTGGATGCTCCGGGAGCCTTGATCAATTCCATGCAACAAATAGTGTCAAATATTTTACACATTGAAAATAAACGTATAAACCATTTGACGATGAACTGATGCGGTGATGTCGTCAGCCAAATAGGTGTCATCAACAAAAACGGTAAGATGATTTTCAAGTCATTGAAGTGGGCGCTCCGAATCCGATGAACACTCGGATGGCCTCCTCCATTAGGATGAAGAGTGACATTTGGATTTTCGAGCCACCTTCGGTCCTCTTCACTGTGTATTGTCTGAAAATTTTTCATTTTATCAGTAGATTTACCATGAGTCATAGTAAACATTACCAAGGGACATAGTAAGAATTACTATGTAAAGACAGTTGAAAACCCTTTTACTATGTTACCATAGTAATCTTTCCTATGGCCATGGTAAAATTTACGATTTAATTCTCTCCGTGTAGATTTAAGGATAATCGGGCGAGGAGGAAATGTAGGAGGTCAGGCGGAGGGGTTTCTATTGTTTTCCTGCAGAAAACCAATCACTGAAGAAAAAAATTTTTCCCATTCGGATTCAAAATTCAGGCAATATTAGGGAGTATCTCCGGTTAAAAATTATTTTTGGAGCTAATCAAATTTATTCGTATCTGTTCCACGCATTGAATGGTTTTCAGATTGTTTTTTTTAATAAATGAAAAAATATTAATCCATGCGAAAAAGTGGCAACATCGTCGGCAGTTTTTTTCTCACCAGGAGCTAGTACCACTGGAGCTCTAATCACAACACTTCATCGCTCTCTCTCAAGAGACGTTTAAATTGACCGCGCTACCCCCATCCGATCGGTACTTGAAACGTTGCTGCTCGTTTGGGCTGCGTGCGCAGAAATTTCATTTCTCAGTACTTTTGTCGCTATTATTAATAAACAATGCTCCTAGGCGACCATCTTTTTCACTCAAAAAATCATTGATCACATGTTCTAAATGTGTCTAAAGTTTCATGACTTTGGCTGCATTTTTTCCTTGAGTTTTGTAGTTTTTTTGGTGATTTCCATAAAATCACGAGTTAAATGACCACTTTTTCAAAAATTCATAATAAATTAACCATGCTCCCCAGCAATCTGAAACTTTGCACATGCCTTTTCCATCATTTAAAGAATACGTAAAAAAAAAGAAAAAAAGGCTGCTTTTTTTCCAACTGTCCCAGCTCGCCCGATTATCCTTAAGTAAAAACTCCTCAGAGTTATAATTTTTTCTCTGATTTTTAGAGAGAATTATTCTTAAGGGTATTTTGGCGGGAAAGAAAAAGCAGAGAATTCAATGAAAATTGCTGAACAGATTATTCGATCCATTTGAAAGCCGTGTGCAAAATATCAAGACCCCTACTTAAATAATAATAATGGGAATAATTTTTGAAGTTGCTACTTATACCCGCAGTTGAATGCGGCATAGGTAATTTATGTGAATTTCCTACGTTATCGATAGATCAATAACGTAGGAAAAGCACTAAAATTACGGATGTCCCATTCAACCGCGTGTATAAGTAGCAACTTAAAAATTTATTCCCATTATTATTGTTTAAGTAGGGGTCTTAACATTTTACACACGGCTTTCAAATGGATCGACTAATCTGTTCAGCAATTTTCATTGAATTCTCTGCTTTTTTTCCAGCTATGGACCCCGCCATAATACCCTTAATATGTGAAAGATCACTCGTTTCCAGTATTTGTTCCTCGTAGATTTGAGTACAATCGCGCTCCATGAACAAGTTCAGTTCAAACTTTTTTTTCGATATAGATCGTTACTAATTTGGCCATTTTTTTTCGTCCAAGGGATTGAAATATTGCTTCCCTCTTCCATGTGTAGATATACGCAAATTTTACCTGTGTTTTTACTCGAGTCTGGCCAGTGAACCAAATCAACACCATCATTTCTAGTATAAGAATGCTCCCCCACCACGCATATAGTGATTGAAATTCTTCAGGAATAGTGTACGTCCCGTTGAGGGACATTTTACCTGACTGAGGAGTGAACTATACTAGAGGTGCGATTGCTTCTAACTGCAGACGTAGCTACTCGGACTGCTGAGGTATTCAAACTGGGACGCGGCTTATCGAAACCCATCTGAAAAAGGACTCTGTGGAGAAAAAACCGGAATCGCCCCTCTGCCCCCCCCCCCTTTGTTTTACTTCAACATTTGTCATGTCTTATGTTGTATCTCGTTTCCTCGTGGAATGTGGTAAAATAGTCAACAGGAAGTGTCAATTTTACATAAAGATCATTTTTCGAAAATATTCAAAAATGTGAGATCCGCAGAAACCATTTTTATGAGGCGAGATCATATCTGCAAGAGTGATCCTTATGAAAATCTCAGAACATTCGTCTAATCATGAATCGGCATCAATCATTAGTTTCAGTAACATTTTCGCTAAAATTTGAAAATTATAACTATATTATAATTATAATATTATAATATTTTTTATCCAAATTAGATATTGGTGAAGCCTATCTATCGACATAAATCAAAATTCAAATCCTATATTAATTTTTAGAATTTTCGAATTTTTTCAAAAATCGGTTATCCCACGATAGTGGGACACCCGAGCTTATACAACAGAAGACATTTAACAGTTAGAAAATTGCTCTGGAAATTTCAGAAGCCAATTGCTATTTTATTAGCAACAATTACTATACTCATTTATTTAAAAAATACAATTGTCAACTTGTTCATCTAGAAGTACTGTATTATTTATTTCCTTTTATGAGCTTTAAAGGCCTCCCGCTCCTTTTACAAAGTGCCATACGTTTCCAATCATCGATAGTTTCTACAGGAAAAATAACAAAATAACAATAAAATGAATAAAAATACTAAATATATAAAAAATAGCCCCGAACCTTCAGTTCACTCCTGTTCTTGAGTCCGTGAAACGTACAAACTTACGACGATGCCACTCAATGCTAGCGGCAAAGCTGCGGAGAAGCCTATAGAAAGGCCCAGAAGGGCGTCACCACTGATTTTTTATGGTTTTTTTATTTCCACTGAAATTGACGTTCTCGGCCATATGTTTTCAAGTTAATAAAATTCCATTGAGCCATGTTCAGGTGAGCAGCAATAAAAGTTGGCAACAATCATTAATCGAACTGCACTTCGTTTCGAATGCTCAAGGCATTCCTCTTCACGCGCATTTTTCATTCTGAAAGAACTCCAAGAATGGAAAATAAAAAATTAATTGATGAATTGATTCTCAATGAATTTTCATCAATTAATTTATTATTTTCTATTCTTGCACTTGGTTTTTTATTTTCTATTTTTGATTCTCGATAAATCTTTATCAATTAATTTTTTATGTTCTGTTCTTCGAATACGTTCAGAATAAAAAATGCACTTGAAGAGCAATGCCTTGAGTATTCGAAACGTAGTTCAATTTGATTAGTAATTGTTGGCAATTTTTGTTGGTGCTGACCTAAACATGGCCCAAAGGAATTTTATGTATTTTTAATTTTTTAATTGATGTATTATTTGAGGATAAAGGTGAATTTTGACTTTGTTATTCCGAGTTTCTCGTGAAATAAAATACTCTGATATTGACATGTTGTTATTTTTTCTGCTTCATTTCGTCCTCATTTTTGTACTTCACATTTGATAATATTTTCTGAGACGTGCAGGAATTTATTTTCAGAAAAAATTATTTGTGAAGCGTTGTTTTGGGGGGAAATGTGGCCGGGATATTTTGTCCGGGGGCGACATTATTCAAGCAGAATGAATCTATAAATAAAAATAAAAAATACAAGTTCAGAAGAAAAATCTTGTGTTCATCGTTCAATTGAAACTTTATTCGTATAGTAAAAAGGAAAAAATCATTTCGACGAATTCAGTAATGACATTGTAATATTTACAGTTAAAATTAAATTATGTCCTTAAATTATTTACACAAAAAAATTCGGTATTTATTTTTTTTCCTCGTTTAGATTGTATTTGGTTTTCAATTTGTCGATTTCCTCCATCTTCTTATCGACATCAACCCTCTTGAATGCTTTGTTACTCTGGTAGTATAATACAACCAGGTATCGGTTGCACACGTTGAACCCACTCAAGTGGTCACAGGCGTTTTTGGCATCGAATATGTCTTCGTAGACGACGAAAGCTGTGCCTCGAGTTTCTGCTGTGTTTCCACTGGGAATGAACATAATTGTAAATAGAAAAATTTATCATTCGTCTTGTTTCCAATTAAATTCAGCAGTAACGCTGTGGGAGGTGATGGCAGCATTCTTCATCTCTATTTAAATGTTTAATTATTTTGAAAATGAGGGGTTTGGAGAGAAAATACCGAAAAAATCATTGCTGGTAATTTTTATAACTAGAAAAAAATCTCTTGGGATTTACGTTTGAAATTACTTGGTGATTTCACAATATGGAAAACTCACAGCTGAGTGCATTCGTGATTAGTATGATTAATAGTTGAATAATATTATTTAGAGACGAAAAATAGTTGAGTATTTTTCAATCAATATCGAATAATTAAGAAAACAATATTTTTTTATATAATCTCAATTGTAAGGGACAGTTCCAAATTTATCCAATGTTCTCCATAGAAAATGACCGATAAATTGTTGGCTGAGTTCTCAACTCAAATATTTTTTAATTTCTCATTGAAAGACATCCTCAGTACAATTCAAGAATGATATGGTTAGAAAATGCAAAAATTGTAGATAGATATTTGTTAATCTAGAAGTTTTCTATTTTCAATCCAAGGAATCCAATCGTTGTTTGAAAATATGCTTTTCTATCTGTTCAATGAGTTTGTTGAGAAACGTTTATTAAATTTATTTATCAGTAGTCTCTCCCTTGGCTAGTTTGTCAATCATTCTAATCAGTTACTATTGGGAGTCAATCATAATATTCTAAGCGGTCTACAATCTTTGTATTAGATACTTGATGATAATTAATTTTCCTATTTTCTATATTTTTATGTTATTTAAGAGGAGACTACTATGAGTTTTAAAAGTTGTGGGTTATTGAAGTGAGACTTTTCATACGTTGAAGATCGATTATATAGATCTGAAAACGAATAATTAGTGCAAAAAAATTTTTTTTTATTGTTCGTTTGCCCGAAAACGCTTAAAATGCCAAAAACAGTCCAGGGCCTCCAATTTTTGAACTACGAAGGATTTTTTTTTCAAAATTTTCTGAAAAATATGTGGAATAACAATTACGAGCTAGTTTTTTTTAATTCGCCTCTTCCATGGCTAAATTTGCTTTTTTGTATTTTTTTACACAAATAGTGAATTTTTTATATGAAAAAAAAGCAAAATCAGCTGTGTAGGAGTCGAATTACAAGAAACTGGCTCGTAATTGTTGTTCCACACATTTTTCCGAAAATTTTGAAAAACAAAATTTTTGTAGCTCAAAAATTGGAGTCCCTGGACTGTTTTTAGCATTTTAAGCGTTTTCGAGCAAATAAACAATAAAAAAAATTTTTTTGCATTAATTATTCCTTTTCAGATCTATATAATCGATCTTTAACGTATGAAAAATCTCACTCCAATAACCCACGACTTTTAAAACTCATAGTAGTCTCCCCTTAAAGTAGTACATACGAATTCCGCATGAGTCGTTGAGTGTAGCAACGGAAAATAACTTTAAAATGCAGAAAAAAAAAGTTTATTCATCTTTGACAATTTTTTATATGACCGCTAACTTTGATGGGCATAAGTTATTAATCCATTGGATTATTTGTTGAATTATTTTTTCAAATAATAGTCTCCTATCTGACTAGCATTTTGTTATCCCTCTCTCTCTCACTCTCACACAACACGCCGCTTTGGGGCAATCGGGAAATTTAACAATTTATAATAAAGAAACGGGACTGAGGATAATTTTCAGATTGGACATAGATTTTTTATTCATTTTTTCTAATTTTTTGAGATTTTTTGTAGATTTTAATCTTTGCCATAACCTCAAACAGCTCATTTTCTCATAAGACTCTGTGTTATTTTGGCATTCCTTGATTAATTATTATCAATAATACTAGACTGCGGATTGCACGCAAACTCAACCAGTATTTCCCTATTCGTATTAACTTTAGTTGACAATTTTTTCCAGATTTTAATCTTTGAAATCTGAGTTTCGTATGTACTACTTTAAATTTTGTGTGAATATTGCCCTAACTTCACCTACACAGCTTCGATGATCAAAATACAGACAGGTGCCTGAGGTTTGTTCTCTTTTAATATGGTCAAGTTTTACTGTCTAAGGCCCGGTTGCACCAGCTCCGGCTAACGAAAACGTCAGATAAAAAAAAAGTAGATTTGGATGTTCGATGGATTATTTTACCCGGGAGAGTATTTCAAATTTATCCCAGGAACAAAAAATAAAACTTAATTCCAAGGTTAAATCATTGTTAATTCAAATGGGGCTACAGGATAAACAAAAAATTATTCTTCGGGTAAAATATTGAAAAATTATGACCCCAACAATATAACGGACCCTGAGAATAAATGTTACCCTGGGGTTTATTTGGATAACAGGGCTTGGTATAACCGGGCCTATGTATAAATTGATTGATAAGTATAAATTAATGTCCTGTTAACACTTTCGATGTCCGAAACGTTGGAAAATATAAAAGAATTCGGCTATCTGTTCTCTCAAATTCATGTTTCCATTCAATTACGAAATTTTTCATTTAGTTAGTGGTTACTCTGTTTTGGTGTCAACTCACACTCGAATTTGCCGGATAGCTCCATATTTTCCGAAGATATCATACATCTCTTCAGCAGTAATTTTGTACGGCAAGTTCCTGATGTAAAGAACTCTGTTCACTTCAGGTGGAAGTCTGACCTGTGAATAAGCAAAGAAAAGGATGAATGATGAATTATAATGATCGACAACGAATCGGGAAAGTGCAATGTTTCTTAGAATCGACACGTGAAATGGGGAAAAATAAATGTACGAAATGAATAAAATGGATAATGTGTTTTGAGGTTATGTTTTCGCACGTCAAACAGTCTTTAGTGACATTCAATCAAGAAAGATGATTCACATGCAGACAAGAAGAAGATTACATACGTTTGCACGACGTTGCAGCATTGCCATCGTCATCTTGACAGTGTTGTTAATTTAAGAAAACGGGCGGAACTGACTAAATGATTTGTTTGATTGGATTGAGGTTCCGGGTCGTAAAGATACACAGACGCTACTATATCAACGAACTAGAACTAAATACAGAAAGAATGGAGCACAAAGTGAACAAACTCACCGATAGATGTCACTGGTTGTATAAGGAGTGTTACCGGTATAACTCATTTTTTGAAATCTAGATGGCGGGCCATGGCCTGTTGAATGCAAAATGACCGTCATTTTTGGTCATATAACGCGATTCCAAAAATGACGGTCATATGACGCACAAATTTTTCAACTAAAAATGATGGTCATAAATAATTGGGAAGCAATTTGTTGTCAAAACATCTATACATATAGATGCATAATGATGATCATAACTAATTTCTAATTTGTGACGGTCATAAATGAAAAAAATAGTTTCATCTATAGAGATGAAAAATGAGCCTGATTATCGTTTCGAATCAATTTCAATAAATTCTAATAAAAATTGATGCAGAAAAAATAAAATTGCATCTATATAGACGAAAAATAACTGTCATATTTTTGGCAGATTGTAACGATCGTATAGGAGGGGGAGGAGAATTGTGTGACAGCCGTCATAAATGCCTCGTCATGTGACCGTCAATAACAAGGCATACGACGCATTTACATCTCTACCTCTGCTACACAAGGGCGCAAATTTTAGATAGATTAACCAATAAATACACAGGATGGAAGATAAACTTCACATATTGTATATCTAATTGCAGGTTGAATATACACAATAACAACTTTTGGGTTGTACCATTTAAAGTAGCTCTACCCTTCGGCCGGGCTACGCTGTACTTTTAGATATTTTCAGTTTGTAAATTTTTCAACTAAATTGCATGGCAAAAATTTGAAAAAATTCATACCCAGTCAGTATTATCTAAATTAAATTTCGCAAAATATTAATATGTTTTCAAACATTTCTCTCTTATAAATGAATAATAAAACTTGTTCGCAAAACGGTGGATTACTTTTTATGAGGTGTCAAAAAAATTCTTGTTTTTCCACATCTAATGGAAAAAAAATTCAATGGAAATGTTGTTTTTCACATAAGACACTGGGTTAAATCCTGATTTTTAAACATTTCTTCTTTGAAAAACCAAAACTATAATTAAATTGAGAAAAAAATTAGAATTCCAAATCTAATCGAGTTTTCTGCAATTTTTTTGCAGTTTTCAAAAATCGTTGAATTTACCGTAAGGGTAGAGCTACTTTAAACAGTCTTTCAATTCATTCTCGAACTGGTTTGGTCCACGTATGTGGTATAGATATCCTCTTATTAAAAACTCATCCCACTAGAGAGAGTAAGGGGACCCACGGGCCTTTTCATTCTGGAAATACAGGGGAAATATTTTTCCGTTCATCGAACTGCAAAATCTTCAGAAAAGTCATCAAAAATTCTGATAACTATTGACATTTAAGGTAATATAGATTTGAGCGCTCAAAAATTATAATTGATATGTAAATTCTGTAAAAGTGTCCGAAACACTTGGAGGAATTAACATGGGAAAAAAGTGTCCGAAAATTTAGTGACTCTCAGGAGGAAATGGTCTATTCAGGAGCGAAGTGGTAAAACGGTCCTTCCTTATAGCGTTTTTCTTGCACCACTTGCTGCAGTAAGCTCGCCGCGTTGCTCAGCAATAAAAAAAAATTTGTAGTATTTTTCAATTGTTTGTTCAATTTCTAAAATAAGTGACAACTGACAATTACGTAGTCACTAATGCTCGTCTACAGCTAAGGTGGACACATCATTATTCCAATATTTCTATTGAAATGAGTGTGAAGATGCGATATTTTAAATTAGATATCAGAAAGTGAAACCTTCAGAATTAGAATTCAATCATATTAATCATGATAATTACTATCTTTAAGTAAATGATCATTCGTAACCATGGAATGTTTTATGTTCTTACGCTGACACCGCGAGTCCCCGTGCACGTTTAACGCATGTCGCTATTTTCGTTTCGTGATTTGAATTAGATCATGAGAAACTAATTACATTGTGAGAAAACAGGCCGGAGGGGCTACAGAGCGCACTGCGTTGGTGGGTAAAGTTGGCTTTGAGATGCTAAGCAGTGCTGAGCGTCTTGGAGTGGTGACTACAAGAGAACACCTCGAAAAAATGATGGTTGAAACACGGAAAGTAAAAATGGGCAGCTGAGAGGTAGACGGTAGTGGACAGAATTTTACCAAAGAAAATAAAATAAAGGGATTCATCACGAAATACAATACTAAATACTGTAACTTGAGAAATTTATTCCAATATTAGTATTGAGTGGTTATTACAATCACTGATGGCGAACCGATTCACATTCATCTGTATATACATAACGGCTCATGATGCTTCCCTCATGCTACTATACAATCCAAAATTTTCAATTTTCTTTTCGTCCTCCATAACCACTTGAAATAATGTAATCAATATGAGAAACATTCCGATTCAGATATAACAGTTTAAAATATTCTAAGAAAGAGTAAATATTTCATTAAATGATTTCTGTGCAGACCCTGAGAATTACCAGCCGTCGTCATCTCCACTAAAAATCAAAACAAGAACGAAGGATTAATGTTAGAAAGAGAAAAATCAGCTCTATGGTTTTGAGAACTTGAAGAATATTTAATACTGCTGACAATTGACAAAAAATATAATGAGATTTTGTCATTTAAATTTTATGCTCCATTCATTTCCCTTTTCTTTTCTTCACAAAAAATGTTGAAAATCCGAGGTCTAACCCGGTGTTTTGTAAGAATATCACTATTTAAAGATATTTCTGTTGTGAATAAAGATTGAAATCTGATTATTTTTCTTATCCAATGTATAAGAAATGACAAATTTGTTGACATCCAACAGAAAATAATCGATCATTGTAAAATCAAATTCCATCATTTATTTATGAAAAAAAAGTGTAAGAAGTACAGTAGAATCTGTCTATCATTTTGGCTTCGGGGGTGAAAATCCGACGGGCTGCAACGTCCTGGAACCCCCCCACTCTCCCGTGGAGGGCGTGACTTGAGAAGAGAGGAGACATGCCGAGTGTTGCCGAAACGTCTCCTACTGCGCGTTCCCGTCGTGCCTAGGGGCACACGCACTCACCACTACACGTCAAGAGACTCAGTAGTGGCGGAAGCCAACTTCTCGTACGGAAATCATAGGGAGTACGAAAGATAGGAAGACTCTACTATACTAGCATATTGCAAAATGTGTTCTGTATAATAATTGAGTATGAATTAAGTTGTTTTAGTATGGATTTCTTCATTTTTTAATATAATTTAGTTGGAATATTTGAGAATAAATGATATCCAAAACTATTATCCGATCAATACAAAATGATTATCAGGGATACGGCTCCTTTAATATTGATATGAGCAACTACCTGTAGCTCGTCACTTGTGAAAACTTTGTATCACCTCTCCCGATTTTCATGCCCACTTCAATGATGTTTGTGGTGATCATGTTTGTGGTCATGATAGTGATCGTGTCCATGGTCATACCCATGTTTTCCACCGTTATATTGTTTTCCACGATGACGATCTGGATTTGGGTCTGCTGACCTAATCACTTTGGAAGCCACCGTAGTTTCGACAGCTGCAATGAAAAACAATGTAAATTTTATATTCACTTATTGAAGCATTATTAAACCGTTCCACTTTTAGTTTTGAGCGCATGAAAATCAAGTCAGTTCAACTTTATCAGTTCTATTCAAGTGGAATTGATTGGTTTTCGTAGTAAAAACAAACCAAGAGCTGCACTTCTCGGAAAACCGTTACATTGCAGGGACTTTACCTTCTTCAAGATTTTTTAGGATTAGATTTTATGCAAATTAATCTTATATTATGGGTGATAATTTTGATAGAATTATCAACGATCACTTCCCTCAATAAAAAATAAATAAAAATATATATCGACACCTTAATGACAGACAAGCGTAAGTTTTATGAGTTCCCTATGTAGATTCGCTTGTTTGTTATCAAGGTGTCCATATTATATATAGTTCTGGGTCTCGCAATGGCTGAAAGTGATTATTGAAAATTCTGACTATCAGAGATCTGATAGTCACAACAGTGTAATAAAAATTAGTCCTCGAGAACTTTCAAATTGTATCAGAAGTTGAATGAGAACTGGAATCAAAATTTCAATAGTGGGCAGTTGGCATTCAATTTTCAATTGGATTCCATGATATTCCCACCAATATGTCCCTTGAACTGTGATTAATTTATGAGGATTTGATAAAATTACCTAGTTCCTCGTTCTGTTGGGCAACAGGAGATGCCAATGCACCGACCAGAAGCACCGCTAATATGATAACTAGAAACTTGGCCATTTTGTTGACTCCTGATTTAAGATTTTACTCTTGATGCGAACTCAAGAACTGATGGCAGCAGCAATTTTCTGATTCTTTTATACTTGCCTTCCAGAGCCCTGGGATTTCCCACTCACTACACTCTTTCCTACCCTGTAAACACCTTTTGCGTCGCAATCGTATTTTCCTTCAAATCTGGATCTAATTAGCAATTTTCATCCTATTGTTGGGATCGTCGTAATCAGGAGTGGAGGAATATTTTAATCTGAATGAATTTCCTCTATTAATTCTCATTTTATTGGTATACTGATGAGGAACGAGAGTGGAGTTTAAAATAGCATCTAGTAAATTCCAGATTACATCTTATGTATTTTTTCCTTGTGGTCATTGCTGGCTTACATCGCAGCTATTACTGAAACATTATATTAACAGGAAAAGAAATTATGCATTCGCATTTGTTATGAGAGTGCTTAATAAATGTGAAGGATTCTTATGGATGCTAAATTGCTACAGACTTGTTTCATGAAAATTATAAGATGAACCTACGCAGAATTCAGATACATGTCCTACACATATCCTATCTTGCTTATCTTATCTTCGATTTCATGTAATTGTACAGCTCAGAAAAACTCTTAAATTTTCGTGATCATTTTGAAAGAATACTAATGATAATAATAATAAAATGTAATAATTATAAAACAGAGAAATCAATTCCTTGAAATAATAATAATTCTTTTCAGTAAAATATAATGATAGTTTTTTTATTCCCCCCTCATTTCGCTACTGTAAGATTTCAATTGGAGAAGTTGACTTCCCCCACCATTAACAATCTAAGCATGTGTAAGTAAGAGGTGTGCATCTCTGCGCAGCAGGAATGCGCCATAGGAACACTGGCGGCACGGGAGGATTGGAACAGACCGATACTCTTTCTCTCTCTCTCCGCCTGTTCTCCTTCCCTCAGTTAAACCGTCGACGCATGAGTAGGGGTTTCCCGATCACTTCAATTCGTATAATTCGTACCCCCGACGCTGAGATCTTAGGGAGTATGCACTAGGCTGCCACATTAATGAAAAATTTTCAAATTTTGCTCCCCCAGCATCTAATAGTTCAATAAATAAAACGACGATGTGATTTTTTTTTCAATCTGTTAAACCATTCTTCGAGTAAGCGCAGGGCTTTCAAATTCCTTATGATGGTGACCAAATTTATCATTACGAGACCGAACGCGCGCTACAGTGCGCAGTAATTGTAACAATCATAGTTGAAAATCTCAAAATTAAATTAATCATGAATTAAATTTGCTACCTCAGATGACTGGAAAAAATGAGGGATAAGCGTGACAGACTTGCGAGAT